ATACTTGTAAGAAAATAAGAAAGTTCCAAATGAAATAAATGCTTGTAAGAAGATAAGAAAGCTCCAAAAGAAATAAATGCTTGTATGAAAATAAGAAAGTTCCAAAAAGTAATAAGTCCATAAAAAGTAGTAACACAAAGTAATTATATATTACTATATTGCTTCAATAAAAGAAGAAACAAATCTTCTTTTATTGAAACTTAGTAAATAGCCAGAAGAAATAAATGCTTGTAAGAAAATAAGAAAGTTCCAAAAAGTAGTAAGTCCAGAAAAGGTAGTAACACAACGCAAATTCCACACCAGATATAAAAGCAATCCAAGACAGGAATCAACAAGATGCAAAGACAACCCAAAAGACTAAAAAACTCCACAGGAACAAGACCCCTTGAACAGAATTTCCATGGCACATGAACTTGATTTCCAAACGTTGCCTGATCTAACGGGTCTTCCCTTGAATCAAAACTTATATCCCAAAACTCAGAAATTGGTTTTGCTTTCTCCCACATTTACCCCTTATCAGGCGAAGCCTTTCAGAGCGACGTAAACACTGAGTTTGCTGTTGATCCTGGCTAATCTCCAGCCGCCTATTCTTCAACTCCCTATCTGGCTGCTCATTAAAATTCCCAGGTGTCAGATTGTTTTCCAAACCCAAATCTTGAGAGCTCACAGAGAGAGGGAGTGAAACATCATTGCTAGGCCCAGCAGGGATATTCTCATGAGAAACTGCCCTTTGCACTGGGGCCTCTCTGTCATTGTCTGCATGAAAATCATTGACCAAACCATCTCCATCTTGTACCTCGGCCTCAACACCATCATTTCTCTCATCATTTCCCATATCAGGATCCTGAAACACAAACACAGGCTGATTCCCAACAGTTTGGGTGTATATACGGTGTTCCCTCGCTACTTCGTGGTTCACTTTTCGCAGACTCGCTGTTTCGCGGTTTTTCAATAAATATTAATGTAAAATATCTATCCTGGTATTTTCACTGTTTCGCAGGTTTTTGCCCCAAAATGGAGAATAGCCAACAGGAATGTAACACGCAGGCCCGCCTTTCCCAGCATCATCTGCGCAGCCAATGACAATCGAGAAGCTGGGAAGGCCAAGCGCCGCCCTCTTTTGCGCCTCAGCCAATAGGAACACCCCCAGTGACCACTTGAGACACTACTTGCTGATGTGAGAGTGTAAATATATATAGTGTCCCTATGTTGTGGATTTTCACTTTTCGCAGAAAATAACACCCACAATAAGTGAGGGAACACTGTACACACGCCCCACGGCCCATGTTTAAATGCATCTTAATACGTAAAAGAATGGGGACACAATACTCCAAGTTGAAAAACAAAACTAGCCGTCCACTGCCATGCCTTGTTGTAGTCCACTCTAGCAATCTCTCTCCCAAAGCAGACAAGAGCATGAGGCCCAGAGGCTGCTCCCTTGAAGCCTTAAAGTCCTTCTGGACTCCCGTGCTAGCGCTCCCTCTGGCACTAGCCCGGGCTGAGTGACAGCTCATAACTCACTAATCCAAAGTTCCCAAAAGCAGATGGGAATCTCTCTCTCAAAGCAGACAAGAGCACGAGGCTCAGAGGCTGCTCCCTTGAAGCCCTAAAGCCCTTCTGGACTCTTGCACTTCATCTGCCGCTAGCCTGGGCTGAGTGACAGCTCATAACTCACCAACCCAAAGTTCCCAAAAGCAGACAGCAATCTTTTCCCCAAAGCAGACAAGAGCATGAGGCCCAGAGGCTGCTCCTTTGAAGCCTTAACACCCTTCGTAACTCAGAACGCTCTTAAGTCTGAGCAAAGCTGAAGAGAGTGGGACTGGGACTTCCTTACTACCTGCATGAAGGCCACGCTTCCAAAGAACCGGTCCACCGGCAGCGGCTGGTTGCTGTCCTCGTTCAAGAATACGCTGTTGTCGAACTCGAGCGCCGGGTTCTCGGTCTCTTCCGGCTCCATCTCCGACTCGTCCGACCACCCCGCTCCGTTTCTTTCTCCTCCTTCCTCTTCTTCCTCCTCCTCCTCCTCCTCTTCCTCCTCCACATTCTGAACCCCAGTTCCAAAGAGAGCTTCGCCATCGCTCTTCGGAAAAGACCCGTCGGCGTCCGGCGTGAAGGGTTGCATGCAGAGGACCGCTTGCTCCACCGGTATTTCGTCGGCCATTTCCAGGGAGGACTTGCCTACCGACTCTCCCAAGCAAAGCCCACGGTTGTCGTTGCCGCCTTCTTCTGCCTCCACCGTTTCCGGACTCCACTTTTCACATTTCAACTTCTTGAAAGGCCGCCGTCCGGTTGCTTTCCGAGAAGGACCCTGTTAACCAATTATCTACATATATAAAAATGCTCAGTGCATAAGTACCTTAAAAACAAAAGAACCAGTGAACGAAATCACACCAAATTTGGCAACAAAACGTCTCACAACACAAGGAGTGGCCATCACTCAAAAAATTATGATTTTGTCATTTGGGAGTTGTAGTTGCTGGGATTTATAGTTCACCTACAA